TACCGGCTTCCACCTGGACATAGAGCCAACCGACTGCCAGCATCACAATTAATTTACTTTATCAGTCATCAGTACAGCATCTTTATCTCTGCCATCCTTGCAGTACTGCTCACTTCCCCTCCTTTTTCAAAACCAAACACTTCCTAAACACCAGCTAACACGTATCTATAATAACTGACATTATTCACGGATCACTTAACAAAGGAGGCATTCAGATAAGGAAGGGTCTACAGAGATGAACTAAATAACATTTTCTTATCTTTGAACATGCTGCAGCAATGTGTTAATAACCAAATTCTGAGTTACAGGTGGTAGGAGAATACAAAATAGAGAATATAAAGCTGATATAGGCATCCAGAGTCTAATGACATAAATCCCCTGTAATATCACAAAGCAATAATGTAACCTGACAAGGTATTAGAAGCTCCGTGCATCTTGGGAATACCACTGGTCTTGGTGTAGAAAGTGATAGGTTTTTTTGAAATACAAGAGAATTAATCTGATCAGCATGAAAGTGGGGGAAAAAAAGTGTCTCAACACAGGAATGAAAAACTTAGAAGTACATTTTTGAGAAGCACATATTGTAAGATAATTAACAAAATTGATTGGGCTGTTTCCAGAAAGGCCTGTATGCCACAGTTATGCAAGGCAGCACAAGTTTAAACTGCCACTGCTCACATGTTTTTTTATAGCAACTTTTAAAAAACACTTACAAAAATGAAACAGGCAGATAAAATAAAGCTGCTGTCAAAGTTTTACATTGTCTTCAATAGACTCCTGTTTTATGATCTGTATTACTTCAAATGCAGGGAGTGAACAGCGGTGAAAAGCCAAGCCTGCCCTTATCTGAGAACCAAGTGCAACAAATGAGCATCATTTCCCAGCTATGGCTGTAGGCGTTCAAGAAGGAGCATTTATGTCAGCAAATCTCTCTCTTGCATTTGAGTCTGCTCTTGTGGGTTTCTCTCTTTATCACTTGTGTCATGCTTTTCTAGATTTTACTTTGATTCTCTCTGAATCATCTGCCTTAAATCCACTTCTGTTATCAAAAACAAGATATCAGACTAACTATTGCTGTTTCATTGTGTTTGCTTAAAATGACCCAGCTTTAACATCTCCTCAGTAAAACCCTGATGAGTTGAACACATACAAATGCATCCCTAGGATATTTAATGGAGTTAAGATGTGCAATTTCATCTGAAAAAAAGGAACAGTGAGACAGTCCAGGGAAACAAACAAACAAACAAAAAAAAAAATCTAAAAGTTTTTGACTATTTAGATCAGTGCTGAAAAAGCAAATTTTTTGCAGTAACAACCAGCAAAAAGTAATAGGTTTAAATGATAATGTATAACTAAGCATCAATAATCTATTCCATTCTTTAATGCTAGAGCTATTGGTCTGCTTTAAAATATAACATAACTCACCAGAATAATAAAATTGCCTTTTCAGGTTAATAAAAACATAGCTTACCTTTTATGTACTGTTTCTTTGTAATTCTAACTGGATGTTTAGAGATACCCTGAATGTTCTACAAACAAAAAGAATAAAAATGCTTATTAAGGTAAACTTTATGAAAACACATTTATGAAGTCTATAAGCAGGCATAAGAACATTAGTGATACTAATGCCATCAAGTTTTGCCCATATAATACATAAGATTAACCACTTTGCCTTTCAAAGGAATCTTCACACTTCTGTAACTCTAGATACTTGAATATTTGCTCTTTCCTCGACAAACAGAAGCTTGTAAGAACTATTTCTCACTGGCAGCCTTTACAAATCCTGATCTCTGGATGCACCGTAGAACATAACTAGTACCCCAATAAAAACAATTTTCTTATTATTTTAACCTGTATTTTTTAGATGTGGTGTATTAACTTTCAAGAAAATAATTAATTTGAACCCTGGCTAAAGAGAAGGGAACAGATTCTTCTTAAGCCTCTAGAAATTTTTCTAACATCTATTCCCACTTTTCTGAAATGCATGATAAAATAGAAGGAGCTCTTTATTAGCTACAGCACACCAGTCAAGATTAAAAAGTGAGAACTAGGCTTATCAACATGCAGGACTATGAAAAACAGATTTTTCTTTAAAGATCTGGGTTCATACACCTTCAGTAAAGCATGAAAGATGATACACGCTATCTTCCTTCTGTTATTTTATGTCATTATGCTTCTTCATCTTAAAAGGTAACACATGACAAGAGACAATGTGTATCCAGCTCAGTTTTCATAATTCCACACAATTAATTTGCAAGCGGTTGAGGAATTAGATGAACTTACTCACATTATGAATACTGTGAATTCAGGAAGTGACAATATTGCTATATAATTTCTAAATCAGAATGATAATTTTCAACGTAATTTTGAACTCAAAATCATTATTCTAAACCTAAGAGGGATGTAACCAAACTGCAAAAGCTACTGAAATTTAAAGCAGAAGTAAAAGAACAAAACCCTCAAAACAGAACAGGATCATTTCTAGTCTTAGTATCACCCTTAAACTTCTACAATTAAACATATTACAGTTGAACATCTGACACAGCACCATACACCGAGATAGATATAGGAAGCTACTACATAATATATGTAATATTTTCCCAGCATGGGTAAACTAGGAACACTGCTCTCAATACATCAACACAAGGCTTGACCCAGAAGAAACACTTGCTGTCTTTAATATTTTATTCTTCAGTTTCTAGAAACATTTAAAAATACAGTTGTGGCAATAGCTTATTGCAATGCTGTTAACCATTTTTGAAATAAGTGGTTATTTAATCTGTGCACATTATTATTGATAACTATTGATTTCTATCAATAACAAGTCAAGGAGGATTAGTGCTTGCTTGTACAAATAATATACTGTTCAAGTGGCCATGGAAGCTAGTGGATTCTCAGAAGTTTAGAAAATTAAGTCCTTTATTATGTAACTCGACATGAAAGTAGGAGCCAAATTTTACACATTTAAAAAACAAAATCACCATATTTTATTGAATAATTTTAGTGACAGAGATCATTGTATGGAATTTTCACTGGGCTCCATATCAGTACTGACATGTTTTTAATACAATAACTTCCAACACAGGTAAAAGAGCTGTTTATAGTTGATTATTGTTCCTTAACTCGTCAGCTTCAAAATCCTAAACAAAGTGAAATAAATAAAAAATTTCAAAATATATCTACAATGGTAAAAATAAATCATCATATTGCCATCTTGTTTTCACTGAGAGCATATGCAGTTGCTTTTAATGCAACTTTAGAAGTGTTACTAATAATTCTGAAAAACACTAGTAAGTAATTGCAAATGCAAAATGTACTTTCACTTGCAAATTAGTTAACAACTCATAATTTGAATAAATCTTCAGAAAAGAATTAACTCAAGAAACATGAAAGTAATAATGCTCATCTTTAAGCTATTGGAATAGCTTAATAGATTCCTCTCACTTAATTTTAGACATCTGTACGCTAGTCATTTTCCTAAACTAGCTGGCTAGAATCCCTCTACAGTGAGTAGATGAAGACATGAATCTCCAGTGGGTAGTTCAATCTATCTGTATATGACACACGTTTACAACAACTTGACCTAAGATTCCCCTGGAGATGACGTTTTCTAAGATCTAGATTATCAAATTTGCTGAGATAAATTTACTTCAGATATTTAAAAGGATGGAGAAATAAGGAGGCAATCTCGGAAGAGTCTTCCAAATGGAAAGCTTACCTCTGCTTCTGTTGAAAATTAGGTGACAGTTTTATTGTATCAGAAGTAGAAGATTGATGTGGCTTTGGTAAATGAGTATTACTACCTTGGACTACATAATACAGCCTGTATTTTTGCTTTTATGTATTTATTTTAAGTATATTTCTGCAAAACCTTCACAGATCCAATCTGAGCTGTGACTGTATGCCATCTTGTTAGAAAAGGGCATCCACATCTTGTTAGAAGTTACAGAGAAACAAAACTGCTCTCTCTGAACAATTATGCTGCAACAGACAAGAAAAAATATACTTCAAACAGTGATGGAATAGCTGGTTGTGAAAGTTAACTATTAATACTTCTCTTCATTGTTTCGGAGTGAGGGAAAAGAAAAAAATCAACCTATTCTAGTGGACGATTATCAAGAAAACCCTAGCATTGGTTAAAAAAAAAATTTAAAAAAACTCAGTAGCTGCAAGTGGACCTGTTAAAGAAACATTAATCATAAATTTGAAAAAATAAAGAAGATACAGAGAAAATTAGATTAGGAGTTTGATTTTACTGCCTTAGTTTCATTGAATACAATCTTTCAGATATATATAGAAAAAAAAAATCCAAAATTCATTTCCAGAGGTTCCAATGGACAGAAGGATAGATGAAGCCAAGGTCTCAGTTTCAATTATGTTTGGAAGGCTGTGATGATCAGGGGAGGTTCCCAAGGGCTGGAATAATGCAAGCATCGCTCCTATCTTCCAGGAGAGCAAGAAGGAGGATGGAGAAAACTACAGGCTAGTCAGCCTCTGCTCAATTCCTGGGAAGGTGATGGAGCAAATAATCCTGGAAAACATGTACAAATGTACTGAAGTCAAGATGATGATCTAGGGTAGTCAGCATGGATTTACAAAGGGGAAATCATGCTTAACCAACACCAGCCTTCTGCGATGAAGTGACTAGCTGGGTGGATGAAGGGAGAGCAGCAGATGTTGTTTACCTTGACTTCAGCAAGGCTTTCAGAACAATCTCTCATAAAAGCCTCATAGACAAGCTGATGAAGTACAAGTTAGATAAGCAGACCGTGAGGTGGACTGAAAACTGCCTGAACTGCCAGGGTCAAAGGGCTTTAATGAGCGGCACAAAGACCAGCTGGAGGCCAGGGACTAGTGTAGTACCCCCGTGGCCAATACTGCTCAACACCTCCATTAATGACATGAATAGTGCAACCTCAGCAAGAAGGCAGACAATCCAAAACCAGCAGAAGTGGTTGATACATCAGACAGCTGCTCTGCGATTCAGAGACCTCAAGAGTCTGGAGAAATGCACCATCAGGAATCTCACAGATTTCAGTTGAAAAGTAGCTTTGCAGAAAAGGACCTGTGGATCCTGGTGAAAAACAAGTTGAACACGAACCAGCAATGAGCCTTTGTACCTAGGGGAGGCCAACAGCCTCCTGGGCTGCATCAGGAAGAGTGCTGCCAGCAAGTCAAGAGAGGTAATTCTTCTCCTCTGCTCAGAATGCCTGATGGGAGAGCGTAAAGAAGATGGAGACAGATTCTGTTAGAGCCTCACAAACGTAGCTTTCTCAAAGCATTCAAGCCTTGCAAAAAGGATGCTCTAATTCATTAGGAAAGTCATTGTGCGAAAGTAAAGTAGAATTATCAATTAAAACAAAACCTAATAAAAACTCAACAAATAATACATAGCTCCCAGACTGATGACTTTATTCTCACTGAGACTTTCCCTTAAGCTCTCCATTCTTGGTATCGAAAATTCTACATCTACATCGGCAATTAAATTTCTGATTCCTTCCTATGTTAAAACCCAGTACATTATTTTGGTTCTTTCAAAGGGTTAGAGTATATAGGTATATATTAGATAAATTACCTTTGAAGTCAGTACAGTTAGACTTCATTTAATCAGAGAGGCTGGTGGTGCATTTTAGTTATTTCTTACTGTATGTCAAGTAGGGTTGTTTATCATATTTTCTACTTACATTCCCCTTTCAGTTATTATTATTGATGCAGCCAACCCATATCTCTCTTTTCCTCTCTATATACATTTTCAGTAGCATAAATTGCTATTTTTTTGAGCAAATGAGCTCAGCCAACCCTGATAACTCCCTAGAAATAGATGTTTATATATGTATACAAAGGCATCTATAGACATATGTATGTTCTTTCTGTCTAGAAAATGGCTCATTAACACACTAACTGCTCAGATCTGCATTTCTAAATACCTGTGGAATATCTCTATCTAAAGACCTACAAAGGGCAGGGAAGGGAACAGAAAAAAAACAACAGTAAGCTACCGAAATAAATGGGAATGCACAGAGGTGGCTGCAGACTATGGACATTTGATTATGATTAATTTCTGCACTGATCTAAGGACTTATTTAAAAATAAAAACAGAGACAGCACTTACTACTGAGATAAGAGTATCCACTCATAAATGTATACAGTATGGATGTGTTGGGAGGGAAGATGAAGAACAGCCAAGGAGTGAGATCAAACAGATAGAAGGAAGCAGTCAGCCTTTCCTCCTAGCTGTCAGACGAGGTAAAGTTATAATGTATACATCCCTTGACGTAGCAACTAATCCACCTGCTGTTACAGGGAGGAACAGTGTTAAAATCTACAGCAAAATAAAGACAATAGGGGAATTAAATACTGTGGCTACCAATGCCAGCAAATAGCAAAAAGTAGTTGCATTTCTTATAAGGAAGACTATTTACTAGGACTGTGATCTTGTCAGATTTAATTACTGTAATAGAGATTCCTTCAGGAATTTAATTTTTTTCCTATTTCCTAACACTTGAGAAAAACACAGATGTTCTCTTGT